GTGGAACATAGGACTTCTGAAGATTCAGTAGCAATGATATTTGTTTTTAAGGAGTGGAGGTTGCTAACCTCACTCACAATCTTCCTTCTTTGCCAAGCTTACTATGAGCGAAGTGATGTTCGGGAGAGTGTCAGGAGGGGGTGAACCCGGACCACGTGTGTGATTGGTGAACAGTCTACCATTTAACCACCAATGCACCACTTATATTTTAGTAACCTACATGATACCTAAATAGGTGTGAAAATTCTCCAGGTTAATGATTCATAAGAACCCACGAAATTTTGATAAAAACAAGAAGGCTACTCGGAAGTAGTATGACTTTTTATACATAAAAGAGTGGTATACAACGGTATGTGTGCCACGCGGAATTATTTTATTGTCAATAGGGTCTAGTTTATTTACCAAATGTAAGCTTTATCACAACCTAAGATTACACAAAACTATATCACAAGTGATTATTTACTGGCACATGTGACTTCCCAGTGATCCGAATGATCGGCATCCGTTGGTGTATGTGTGCCCTCGATATTGTCTTGAATTTCACATTTTTATTAGACTGACGGTGAAAAGCATGATGAATCCATCTTACTTCCTAATTAGCATCAAACGAACAGGATAAAAGTGATGTACAATGTAGCCGGAAATCCTGTTTACACACTCCAAAAACAAAAATGAGAAAAGAAACACGACTAGCCTGTTTGTTCAGAATAATTCACATCATTGCAACGACTATCATCCATTAACCTTCACCTTGTGTTATTTACAAACCATTATTCGAAGGTGATGGTTGGCAGGAAAACACTACTCTCAGCAATCCTGCCACGAGTATTGGTTTGGGAAGCTTGAGATTCTTTTCTTTAAAAGTAAGCAGGTAGGTTACCTTTGAAGTCAAGGTTCATATACAGCATTTTCTTCAATGAAAAGGAAAAGTTACACTTGAGAAGCTTCGGTTTTATAATTATATCATTGAAATGAGCTGAATATCTATTTTATATCATGCGTTTTAGCAAAGGGTTAGAATCTCCTCCCATATTATTAGAATTGCAAAAAGGCTGAATGCAATTACCCAATGGTATGATCAAGTTTCTTTGAAAATCTCTCAGATGACTATCCTATGACAAATTTCTATGAAGGCATCTTCTTATGGTTTCATCACTCCTCCCTGACAGCTTTACATCGAAAGAAAAGGAATGTTAGATTTGTTTTCTCCATAGCATGTGGGTATACCAGTTTACCTGCCTCAGTCATTCAACACAGACTCTGTCCAAAAGAGTGCAAGATCACTATGAGTGGTTACGAAGTGGAGTCCGTTGTATAAGAGGAACGAAAATGCAACATGTTCACAAAAAATCATTTTATCTCAACAGCCTCTCCCTCAAAGTGATCTATAAGATGAAAAATATCTTTCCAAAGCCAGGACGCGTTCGCCTTATCTGTATTCTTGGGATTTAGTCATCAAAATACATTTTAAAAATATCCAGAGCTTAGCATACAGTAAAACTCTTTCAACCTCTCTTTCAATCTTTGTACTAATCTATCTGTACTACTATTATTATTACGTCTGATTTAATCCTTATACGATATCACCATGCTGATTTCTATATTAATTCGTCTTATGTAGCAACTTCCCGTATTAACTGTACACTTTCATCACCCCTAGATTATATTTTCACTGACACTCATTAATCTTAATAAACGTGAATTCACTCTACTAGTTATTATGTATCTTAGATGTAAACCTACTAGACACATTCATTAGATAAATGGTATATAGTTGCCATTGTAAAGCCTGGTTTGTCTTTCTGTACGTCTGAATGGGAATTTTTAGTGGATTTAATAATTTAATCATTCGTTTATTTTTGTTATTTTTTTTCAACATACAAATTATGCATTATGCGGCCACCTGTTGCAATTTTCTTAACCTTAAGGTGCAGTTATTTCTACCCTTAAATGGTTCACTTATACAATTTGGTTTGCATATATTTATTTATTCATTAAAACAAAAACTTATGAGCATCAAGAGACGCAGCACATAAAATTTCATCGTTTTTGCAAGGGATAAAATACTGCCCGGGTGACCAGACCGAAGCAGGTGGTTGTCTTAAGGGATCAACCCTCCTTTCCTGTACCTTTGGTGTGCAGTTTGATCCACCAGGCAGTTGAGCAGTATCAGAAGCTGCATCCCCGTGGCTGATGGTAACCAAAATAGATTTGTACGCTATCCCGTCCGATCGGATCCTGGAGCCCATGTACACCATAGGTTTGGAATCATGGTCTTCTAGCTCTCCTAAGTAGACTTCAATGTTCACCACAAGTGCGGTTGTAAGCACCAGACGTTAGCCATTTCACTATTGTGGAGAACACTGCTACCACATGAAGGCAGTAAATAGGACTTACCTAGCAGAGGCTATGAGCGCATGGTCACATGAGAGCATTTCGGAAGGAATACCAAAATATACCCAACTTTGGCCGTACCAAGTGGTTTATGGGGCAGTTTGAGATAAAGACAGAATAACTTCGCAAATGGTCAGTCATCTAACGGTTCACGATTTTTGATGATTCAGTGTCCCCAACATTCATTGCAGTTGTTGAATAAATTTCAATGTTGTGAGTGTCACAGTTATAGTCCTTGCTAAAATAGGAATACGCTACAAATTTTTAAGGTTAATTAGATACGACTGTTGATCATTAGTCTGGGGACAGGCTTTCCGATTAGACAATTACAAAATACGAGTACTGTGTAAATGTGCTGTAGTTATATTTACTACTTCTCCTCACGTATATTCAAATTCTTGTTATTTTATGTTTAATTTTTTTCTTAATAACGCGTCTTTTTTCAGTTATTATTGGAAAATGCAGCAGGATAAACCGACACACTATTCTGCGAAACGCCACCGTGATTCATACATCAATCGAGTTTTCAGGGTCTCCAAAGCTATTGATTTTTTAAATGTAATACAGAAATACCCATTTAAGTGATAACTTTAACATCAAGGTACTTACGCCTAACTATTAAACTCAAAAGATCATAACACAACTCAGCTTCCGTTCTAATCAAACTCTTCATGTTCATAAGTTAACTAGAAACAAGCTAATGCACAATAGAATCACGTTATATTGACTTAGTATACGAAAGTTCATATGTCTCCATGGTCAATTATCAATTCAAAAACTTAAACAGTTTAAACCGACATGGCAATAACTGTTTCGTTTCACAACGAAACGGGAAACAATACTTTTTGAAATTCAAACAAACAAATGTATTCACAGTCATCTCCTATAAATATAATACGCAGTTTATCGCCACATTTAAGGTGGGAAACTGACTGCAACACTTTGCTTCAAAAGGACTCGAGAAGAGTCTAAAGGGTTGTCATAGAAAGACAGTTCCTCGAAAATTAGCAATACAGCCTTACTACCAAAACGGGTACATGGTAATTTTGGTAGCAGAAGGGTTCCAGACAGATCACTTTGGTTGGCAACCAAATCAAAGGAACCAAGCTCAGGTATATCTCAGGTAGCATACGGAAGGATGCGTAGGATGTCACTTAATGATACGGAATTCATAAGTATCCAGTCACATAAGGAGCTTACAGGAGAGGCGGAAGGAAGACTACCGAAATTCCAGCATCACAGCGAATGAACAAGGCAAAACGAAAAAGTAAAGCATACACTTTGTAACTTCTATATTAGATACCGTACAGATATTTGGTGTAGCATAGAGATGACCTGTACAATCACTCAGAGAATGTATGGAAGCCTAATTATCATGCTGTAGGGAGAAAAGATTATCTTGATCTACAAGTGTTCAATTCATAGTAGTCTAAATGCAGTGGTGCATAGAAACTTAGGATTAGAGAAGTATCAAAATCACCAGTTGCAACTGAAGAAGCAGGCACATTACCAATAAAGATAGTTTAGTTATCAGATTCATACGAGACGGACACCGGAGATTGGGTCAGAAGAAGACGAGCAGTACACGGAACAACGGAGAACAGGATGAAGACATTGGTATCTGAGTTACTGCACAGTGAGGGACCACTCGATTAGTTGTAACTAGATGATGTCGAAGTGTTTACGTGCACTTGAAAATTCATTGGAGTCATTTCCGCATGAGGCATCAAACAAACCATAGAATCAACAGTAAGTACGGGCAAACAGGATTGAGAATCATGTTCTATAAAGCTGAAACCATTGTCCACTAGAAGGGAAGACATGCAAACTTGAGTAAGTTGACCAAGAGATTTCTACTACAGTAAGTGTAGACGCATCCTTACAGCACAGACATAAACAGTGCAATTTCTAAGTGTGTTCACTATGTAATCAAATAATTGCTGTTGGGTAATACATTTTGAACTTAAGCTATTGGTAGCCGTTGACAGTCAAGTATCTTCAGTAGCTGTCAATTTCCTCATTATTGGACCGTCGAGAAGACGACACCAAACAACACCGATGAAACAAGTGCATGTTACAGCGGAATAAACAAAGGACGGCAAATTCAGCGGTCCACACGGACACTTCAGCAGTTTCAAATGTTTTTTACGGTACATCAAGGTTCCATGGCGAAGAGGATTAAAATCAGAACTTCTTCCAGACTCCAAACTTCACAAAAGGATGGAGTCGAAAGTTTAACTGAGAAGGATCTCGATGTGCCCAACAAAATATTAGTCCCCAGTGATGCAATGAACCAAAAGGAGAAGAGGCTACAGGGCACTAAATGTCGCCAGCAGAGAACTGGAACCGCGTAGGCAGAGGTGATAAGGAAGACGTAGTAGATCAACTAGACGAAAAATGATAAGAGTTTGATGGTAGGGATCAGCTAAAATCTATGTGTCAACGCAAAACTCAATGACATCATTATATAGTGATGAGTACGTTAAAAGTTTAGGGCATATCGAGTACTACCAATAATTGACTTACAGAAAACTATTCGGTAAAGCATTATTCAATACCTGGGAAACTTGTAAATAAACAATCAGCAATAAAACAGTAAAAAAGTCGTTAAACTATTGATCAGGAAATATGTATGTGAAGCTAAGATTTTAATTTTGGAAATATTTTTAAAATAATTATAGGTTAACAATGAGTAATTCTGATGAGACAGGATTATGTACAAATACTAAACGTTTATGATTCCTTTTTATCTTCATGTTTATATCTGTAATTATCCCAACCTTCACAACATGGTTGTTTGATATATTTATATTTCTCACAGCATTCAATGAGTGTAGTGATCTCTTTCATGCACCGACTCACTTGGTAGTTGTTCTCTAATTAGAATGCAACAACAATAAACAAGTATAATTTTACTAGGGTGAAAGAAAACTTACTGATCAGACAAGCTTGAATTTCACACGCCAAAGGTTTACATGGCAGATTCATTACAAGCACAAGACTAGTAGAAACGAAAGAAAAGATCAAAATATGATTAGAAACACATTTGAGTTACTTGGTTATTATAACTAAATTAACTGGTGAACGAATTAATTTAACAGATGTATTGTGGATAATTGTGATTCCCATAAATACCACGTGCGTCTGTAGCACAGCGGTTAGGACTCTCGCCCACCACGCAAATGACCCGGGGTTCGATACCCTGCCGATGCACAACTGATATCAATGGTCGGCCTGCAAAATTTGGGCTACCGATATCATATGCTGAAAATTCCATACTCGTACCAAAAATACTGTGTGGTTTCAAGCTGTAATCAAAAAAATATATTATTTGGTGCAGATACACAATCTTTGTCATTTTTGCAAATTACCTTACAACTAACATAAATATAACAATGTGGTGAAGACTTATGCCGTCAAAACTTTTAACAGTTTTATGATAGCTGTACATTAGGACAAAGGAAATCGGTCTGATATACTAATGAGTCCCTTAGTTAGCAGCTGGATAACCAAATGTACCTATAGTTTCGAGAATATTGAAACAATTTCTACATTGTATTTTCCCCAACAGCTACATTTTACGTATTGACGCAATTTTCGAAGTACCAAAGGCGAGTAGTACATTTCTCTATAATCAAATAAACTTGCTACGCAGTCTAACATACCGCATGTGCAAGGAGTAAGCCTATGATACAGTTAAGTGGAACGACCTCGATAAGAAATCTGCAGAGGTCACGTACGAATGCTGCCTCTATATTATCATCCAAAATATCAAACAGGAAGTCGATCCATACCATAATATGTTTGAAAGGGGAGAAAAGCGTGTGAAGTATAATAGGAAAAATCGATATAGAATACCAAATCATCCACATTTCCACAGCGTTAAAATCAAACGAAATAAGGACGAATATTTAATAAGATAAACAACAAAACTCAGGAATCAAACATACAATACAATCAGGCAAAAACACTACGCAGTTTAATAAAGTGAAATGCGATGAATCGTACAGGAAAACCAGGTTGTCACAAAAGAAAATGCAGTGCATTCTTGCTAGCATAATGAGATCAGAAAACAAGCTATCATCCACGTAAGGTCAAGCAAACCATGTACACCCAATAAAGATCAAGCCCTTTATTACACGCTGTCCTAAATTTCGAGATACGAATTTAGCATGAATTTTTAGCCCGATAATGCATAACCTTAAAATCAATAAGTCACTGTTTAGTAGGAGTGCTTCGGTGGCACAGTGGTTAGGACTCTCGCCGACCATGCACATGGCCTGGGGTTCGATCCCCTGTTGACACACACCTGATATCAATGGTCAGCCTGCGAAATTTGGGCTACCGATATCACACGCTGAAAATCCCATACTTCCACTAAAAGTACTGGGTGGAATCATGCTATAGTCAAAAATTTTAAAAACTAAATTTTGTAGTGGAATGCCTTCAACTGACATCTACTTATCAGTAGGAGATACTTTCAGTACTACGTGGAAGTAGCCGTCGTGAGATTTTACACAACCACCCTCTGTGTTATAATTTGCCTAACGTGATACAACCGTATCATAGCACCAATGTTTCTCGGTCGCACTCCATAAAACCAGCATCATATCTACCTTAAAAACTAGGCGTTTTCCTAGGCTCAGTCCAAACAGACAATAATGGAGGAAGAGAAATAATGAGAACTGTCACCAGAATAGTAAAGCAGAAATAATGGGATAAAGGGCAGCAACAGAGAATAACAGCCAAACGCAATGACTCAGCAAACGAACATGTGAAGCCAAACATACCGTTCCTTATTCAGGGTCCATTCTATTCATGAGTTACCCTGCAGTGCTGTCCTGATCCCTTTCTAGTTATTACTAGGTCTAGGGCTGATTTTGATCCAAGATAATGATTTTATTTGCGTTAGGTTTAGAATGCATCAGTTAAAGGTTGGGATACCATGTTTTTAACATAACATAATAGATTTAGTGGCCATTTGCTACAACCTATAACTTACAGTACTGTAAAGATTGTTAACATGATTCAATTCAATTTCCATTAGTGTATTCGTTTTAAATATAATTCTGTAGTCAGTCTTTTCTCATTGTTATGAATTTGACCTGAATCTATTCTGCTCAGTGGATTTTAAAAGTCGTTCAGTAAGCCATTAAATTGCGTTGCTATCATTTACAGTTGCCATCCCCTACTCTCATAATTTGTTTCAAAAACCACGGGCATTAACTTTACTTATACGGTGTATGCTGTCACTAAACATCGTACACGACAGTAACGTACGTGGAACCCAAATTTTTAAAATGTTCTTAGTATATTACTAAGAAGAACAAGGATGAGCGGAAAATGACCACAATCACAGTTCCTTATACGACTACCTTTCCTCTATATTTAGAATTTCCCCTATTACTGTCTGTCTGGGTACTATAATATGCCGGAAGCTATATGGATACCCAACTAGCATTGAATTTGGGCGCAATGCAGATAGCTGTCCACTTCCTGCAGTGCGCCCGAAGATAATGCTAGCCGCAGCTAGTCACACCCATGGATGTGACTTCCAAAATGCATAACACAACTAACATAGAATCCGACAGTTTATCTTTTATACTTTTGTGGAGTGTTTTGCCGTGGTTAGTAAAATAACGAAATGCTAATGTCGCTCAAATTCTCATGTTTCACAACACCTTATCAGCTGTAACAACCAAAAGCAGCGTACCAAGTAATTTGCCGCTCGAAAATCCTACTTTCAACATTCAATTTCTATGAGGTATGTTTGTATAAAACTGTTGATTTCCCTTTGCTAATTTCCAAATGTATTGCAATGAATCAAGACATTCGGTCAATTGCAGTAAATAATATCACCTTTCAGCAGGCTAAATCTCCATTAGGTGCGGAGGATGTTTGAATGTTAGAAAGTTGTATGGGACGGTTCTTTAAAAATACCAATACCAGAATCGGTCATAATCATTTTACATGCAGTCATCCAGATCACCAGAATACAAACCGAAATGCAGGTACAGTATTGTATAGCGGAAACGAGAGAGGAAGTAGGTTGATAAAATAAAGACAAGACAGACTGAAAATATCTTCAAAATTGAAAGTGTTGACGCACATCCAATTTGTGGTGATACGGTGGTGTGCGAATGTAATCCTCCACGCTTAAAATGTGCTCATTCAATGCTGCTAGAGAATGGTTAGAAATCCGGAGGACAACAGCAACTTCATATTTATTTTATTTTCGTCGTATTTCTTTTACCTAACATTTAATTGTGTTCCTTCCCTAGCACTTTCATCTTAGCTAACAAACTCCCTTCGAGAAACAATGGAAAATTTCTTAGTAATGAAGGGGGAAATGGACACCATAAATCAGGGTGTGCAATTACGTATCCATCTACGCTTTCGTGTACTCATTTCAAAGGCATGCTGACCTAAATGTCACCGTCCGAATTTTCGCAACATATTTGTACACCCCTGAAAAATACGCGGAAACTTAGGCGAGGTTAACATGCATATTTTCACTACTTTGCATACTTCAGTCGATTAGAGGAAACAGTAAACTGTATTCAGGTAGCCAACTCATGTCTTAAAGGTGACTCACGTGTACCAGGGAGAGTTCAAAAGACACATACTTACTATCTCTTTTTTAACGGATTCTTCTTACAGACAAGGACCGAACAGACTGATTACATACTTATTCTTATACCACAAGGTAAGATAGGATCTATTCACGGTGTTCAGGATTAGAAGAAATGATTAGCGACCTCATGTCAACAGTAAAGGACGGATACCAAAGTCAGACTACCTTGAACCAACTAATAGGATTCTTCCTACCAAAAGTGGCATTTATTGAATTAAGGAGAGTTCGTTTATAAGATATGTAAGCTATCAAAATGAACTGTACAGGATATATACCTCAAGTATGCCACAAAAAGAGGTGCCAGTTTGTGATAACAATGTCTGCAGATATATCAATTTATATATATATTTATATATATATTGACACAAAACTCATCCAAGTGAGTGTATATCACACCATATTGGATGGCTATTTATCATAATAGTGCTTTCTTATATAGGCCCGGAATCCTTCGATAAAATTTGTATGAGTCCCGCTTATAGGGCATACTAATTCAGAAGAATGATTGGTGTTATGATGAATATAACTCTATGACGATAGTTGCTAGTAACGTTTCCATGAATCTGTGTGAATGGCAGTTCCTGGGAGGATGTGTTCTACAAAATTTTTCAGAGATTTGTGTTGTACGCTCCCTTCACCCAAGTGTGATTCTCTATTCTCCCACCGCGATTCATTTTTCGTTTAATAAGTACTACTTCGTCAGTGTGAATGACGACACAAGCTCCTGCGAATACAAATGTAATTCCGCTGATCTTGTTTTACGTGATATCCCAAGAGCGTTGATACCACTACACTGTTGATATTTTAGTAATCTCTGTTTCTGCAACTGTAGCAGATAGTGGTCGCTTCAGTAAGCAATTGTGGCACATACGCAACATTTTACAAGGTGAGGAATTTACCGTAATGTACAGTTTGCGAACTCTTACAGACTCCTTGCTATGACAGTGATGTCATCTGAGTGCATAACTATCAATAGGCTGGCAGTACTTCTGAGGAATCATTATCCCTAGACTAATGCTTATTTTAGTCATTCCGAATAAACCATTTTTCTCATAGAAGTCAGAAGCCAAATCTGGGTGAAACTCACCAAGAGGACTATGGATAGCGTCCATTTGTGGTGCTGGGCGATCCTGTTGGTTGGTCCAATGTCATTGACTTTGGTGTCTATCCTTTACTGTTACCGACCTGATTTATATCATGACCTCATTACTGCTAGATAGCACATCACAGAACGTATAGCAAGACTTTAAGAAAGTCAAAGAACAATCACGCTCATGTTTAGGAAATTACAACTGGCAAGACCCTGGTGCATTTTTACGAACGCAGGAAATCAGCCATCGACACACAATTATCCATTTTGTAGAGTGCAGTTAACCAAACTCCTGTGAGTTGGGTGCCACCAAAGTTAATATCCAGACAATATCAGAGTAGAGTTTCACTTGACAAAATCAGTTATGCCATCAAACACTGTCTAGTTAAATCACAATACACAAATATGTCAGGTCAAACTCGTCGGGCAAATATATAGTCCAAGGACTTCTCATATACAAAGCGCGTGAGAAAAACCAGTCGGACACGACGGATACAGTTGAAAATCAATAAAAACATTTCCAACTACATGGTGATGGAAC